GTTTCTTGTGAAGTGAGTCACAAGAGGGGCTGGATTTCAGCCAGCAGAGCCTTCGGGGTGAAGCACACGTATGACCCCTCTCACTTCCCTCACTTAGGCTAAGGTGAGCAGTGTCTGAGAAGCAGCCAACAGAGCACAGACACAATACAAACCCCTTCTTCCATGGCACAGTTCTCTGTTTGCTTTTCTCTGATACTGTGGAAAGAGCAAAATATTTACCCTGCTCTCCCTTCCCTTCCTGCATGTCTGCTATTAGTGGCACAGACCTTGTGCTTCACTCACTTTATCACCTTTGCACCAGGGCAATAGAAAGTTCCGGCTCACACTGGGAAACACACCCTTGGATGAGGATGACGCCACAGGGACGTGGCAGGGCATCAACAGCCCCCGGGGTGCTTGGGGACTAGGGCTATTCACTGGAACTACTGACATGCCGAGAAAAGGTGTGTCTAATGCACTGCCCAGCTCCTCCGCCTGTACACGCCTGCATGAAGCTGGTATGCAGCGACAGCACGGTGTGTTCTTGGTGGCTGCTTTCAGGAAACCTGAGTGGTCATGCATGTTTTCACCGATAAGGATCTCACCACGCCTATGAGAGAGTGCTGCCCCGGTATTCATGAGGAGAGGGACTGTGAATCCACGCTCTCAGTTTAAGGCACTTAGTCAGTGTCTTGATTTCCCTGGCTCTAAAATAGGGTTAATAATACGTCATTGAGACTGTGTGCTTCCCAGGTGTGGGATTTCATAGGCAGCTATGAAACAAAGTTTATTGCACAGAAGAGAAGTTGCATGTTACTTTAAGAGCCTGAAGAGACTGTATGAAATGTTTATTTTATTATTTATTGCATTGGAGTAATTGAAAACAATGTTTTAAAGGAGTGTATGCAAGCGTCATACCTGTGTGTCTAGTATATACACACATACCTAAACACAGTTTTTACTTACCAATCCTTCAAGCTCATATCTACTAGAAAACCCCTTTGCTTTCTTATTTTTTTTAATCCTATATATTGCCTGTTTGAAAAGTCACAGGTGGAATCCTCAGTGTTGAACACTTTAAAGATTCATGTGGATAGTGTGCTGGGACATCTATTCTAGGTCATGTTATCCCAAGAAATGTTGGACCAGATGATTGTTTATATTCTTCCAACCTGATAGTCTATGATTCTATGATAGGTTGTTCAGAGTCTTACTGTTTTCCTTGGGGAAATTCCAAACTAAATTCCAGGGGTTTGTGACCATATGAGCGTGGCTGGAGTAGTACATTACAGCTGACACACACTGCTCCATAATTCATCTGTGTTGCATCCCATGTCCCAGGGGCACTGCTCTGGACATAAAGACACGCAGAGGCCGTGGATGGATGGTGTATGAAACAGGGAAATGGAGTGGGGTACAACCAGAATGGAGGAGTGGGAAAGGTTGGGCAGTCAAGCCTATGGAGTCTTCCATAGCAGCAGAAGAGCTCTTAGGGAAACCCCTCCTAAAGCTCTCCATCATCTCTGACTCCTGAACCATGCTCTTTGGACAAGCCTCTGTCCTGGACACGTCAGTCACCTCCCTGACTGCTTGCTTCCTTGCAGTTAGGTCCATATTTCATGCATTAATGTGCAGCATCACCACTTCCCTCTTGCTCAAGGCCCTCTGCTACACTATATATTAGACACTGCGGGAGTAAAAGGAGGACACAACCCTGCTCTGCTCATGGGGCTGCGACCTCATTAGGGTATTGCTGCAAGAATGGTTTTGTAGGTAAACAGATGGAAACCAGCTATGATCCTCCCAGGACTGGCAGTAGTTTCTGTTGCTCTCTGCAGCATGATGGCTTGGCTTTAGCAGAAAGCACAGACCACCTTGTGTTAATAAGAAATAAAAGCAATCAACCAGTATTGCATTTATCTCTTAGCTGGGAGTGTGTGTAGGTAAGGTGGTAAGGCTGTTACATTAGCAAAGTTATGTTGCATTGATACCACACAGTTTAAGAGCCATTCAAGGCCAAGCTGTGATAATTAAGTATTAAGATACCCTAATGCTTTTGTTAGTGTCAAAGTGCTGTATATGTTAAGTTAGTCAAGAGAATAAGATATAGTTAGAATATATAGTATGGCCTACACATCCATTTGAAAGCTATATGGAGTCATGTCAGCCAGGTTTTAGGGTATACAAAGAGGTAATTTTGGTACCGCTGTTTTCCAAATCTGAAGGGTCATCTGTTGTGCTAAACTAGGAAAGAAGAGTATGATGAGAAACGGCTGCAGGCTGTGGTTCACGAAGATGCTGACTTGTTTTAAATAAAGAGTATTAATTTGTACTTTGCCAGTTTCTACTGAATGAGAATATTGTATTCTTTCTAATAATTCCAGAAGTCTCCATGGGACTGTTTGGAGACATGGACCAGAAGAAGGACTAGATTTTGAATTGGCCACTTTGTCAGATGGAAATCACAAACCATCTTCATTGGATGGCATGCTCTGTAACAGTCTTACACCAGGGAAAACTGGAGGAGCCTGGCCTGCACTGCTGTTGAGGTGAGGATGCTCCTGAGCCCAGAGCTACATGCAAATGGCTAGTGTGAATCCACTTCCCATCCCCCGGTGACTCATGGACAGGGAAGCACTGGCATCCTGCTCTAGGAAGGGTCAGTCTCCTGCCCTGCCCTGCAGGGAGGGTGAACACCCGGAAATGGATGGAGCTGGGACAGCAACAGGAATTGCTGGTCATGTGGAAAATAAACAAGACTTTTCCAGGACTGGGGTGATAGCTACGGCGAGATGGAACAAAGCACAGGCAGCACTGGCACCTCAACATAACATGCTGTCTTCATCCCTTAGTGGAGTTTGCTCGTTGGGCTGACATTCATGGACACTTGGAAGGCTAAATGGGAAGAAGAGAGTATGATGGACCAGTTACCAAAGCTTAGAAACATCCCTTTGGCTGTTACTGTGGTCCTGCTATTCCCCTGGGAGTTCTTCACTTTCCACCTCTGTAATATTTGTATTGGGCACACTTTCACGATGAACCAAGTGAGGAAAAATGGCCCCAGGTCTCCTCAGTCTTATTCTCTCTAAAAGAGGCTTGTATTTGGGTGTGGAACAGAATGAGAAGACAAGGAGGTCCGTATGGTTATAATACATGTCCTGGCTAATCCAGGTTCTGATACCATCAAATTTAGCTCTTGCCGCCTCTAACAACTTAATTCAGATTATCCAGGCCTTTTCTGAGCTCACTGCACCACTTTTTCTAAGTTACTAATAATAATAACTATCTAGGATACCTTGTTTTGAAAACTGGTGCAGCCATAGGTTAATTAATACAATGCAGGACTAGTACAGGAAGATGGTGCATATTGTTGGCATGTCTCATACTAATACAATCTATATATATGTGGCCTGTTTATAGGACATGTGTGGCCAGTGTCACTGTGGGTCAGAACCAATGGAAACACAACTCTATCCTTCTTACAGAAAGCCATAAAGTGAAGATCGTGTTTGTTTATTTGGGAAAGTTCTGTTTGGTTGGTTTTGTTTGATTTGATTTGGTTTGTTTTTTTGTGTTGGTCTCTTTTTTGGTGGTTTGTTGTTTGTTTTTTTCCTTATACTTACATGTGGATGTGAGAAAACTCATCAGAAAGTATCATACCCCCATAACCATATTAAAACATGCATCTGGCAGAGAAAGAAGTTCCTCATTTGTCAGTGTTTGTGAATAGAATTAGAAAACAGAGAGCAGAAAAATGAAAGCTGCAGGGAGTGCTGCATGCCCTGGCCTTTTGAACCTGGTACTTTTGTTCTCTACCTAATGTTTCCCAAAGCATGTGTTAAGGACCTCTTCTGCAGTGTGAACTCTGAGAAATAGAGTGATCCCGGGATCAAGGCAAAAGAGTGCTAACTCTGACAGTAAAACTGCCTCATGAGGTTATGACAGGAATTGTACGGGTTGTATAATAAACTTGTTATTGCTGTTGTATTTGGAGAGAAATTTCGTAGGAGAACGCAAACTTTGAGCTATTCTACAAAAATACCGACTGGCTCCATCTGGAGGAGACAGCTGATATTTCAGACACCATCAGTTTAGTCAAGCAGCCTGTAAGCAGAGCAAGAATCTGTTCTTCAGCCCTATGTTGAATACTTGCCCACTACAGGCAGGTGTTCAGTGGTTTTAAGGCTCTACTTAAAAAAAAAAAAAAAAAAAAAAAAGGAGATTACTGAGGATGTGATGCTTTTTGTGCATCTTTGGGTTGGGAGGAATTTCTAGTCTCATATCTCACTCCCCCTTGGTTTTCCTGGAAAACCTGGAACCCTGCTGAGTTTCTCAGCACTGTGTGAGAGGAGACACTGAGTGAGAAGACTGCTTACAAGAGGCTGTGTGTCCTTCTGTCCCCAGCAGCCTGTGTGACGTCTGCTGCCACAGGAGTCCTGCAGGAAAACTGGAAGGTTACAATGGCAGTAAGTGATCAAGTAAAATCCAACCAACCCCCCCAAAACTGGCACTTCTTTGGAAAGTTCGTTTGAGCCAGACTCAGGCCATGAACAAATAGATGTCCAGAGCATGAGGTTTGGCTTAAATGCAGAATACAGAGCTCTATATGTGAGCTGGGATGGTTGTTGGTGTTGGCCCTGAAGGCCCATGATTGCTACTTTTTCCCTTCCCTTTCTAGTGACATTCCTGCATTGAACTAGATCATCACTGCATCACAGACCAATAGGGTAACCAAAAGCCCTGGGATCAACACCAAGATACTTTCTAGTTGCTCAATGCTAGGCCATGAACCAATGTACAGGAGTAAACGTGTGTGGACATGAAAGCTCTTCTGTGTGTCCCTTGCTCAAAACTTCTGCCCTGGAGAACAAGTTTTGATTGTTTTTTAATCCCTGTATTGCCAAAACCTGCAATGATACCTGTTTTCCTTGCAAGTCTAGGACTCCAGTTACTTGCATGCCACTTCTGCGCAACCCATTTCTCTTCAGCCAGGCATAACAAGAGCATTAACTGTGCAGGGCGGATTGGCTGCAACAGCTCCCGTGGGTGCTCCCACCCTCCTCCCTTCCCCATTGCAGGTTAGCATTGCTCCTGCAGCCATCACTAACGGATGGCATTTGCAGAAGTGACAAGTTCTGGCTGTTCGCAGCCACTGGAAGAGATTGGCAGTGCCCTGGGACAGTAAGGTTCTGCCTTTACCTCAGCTGTGAGAACAAGGGCTGGGCACTGCTTTTCTCAACCCTTGGATGTGCTGAGCACCTGCTGGCATGAGGTTTTTCCTCCAGTATGTGGGCTGTTTTTTTGCTTTCTTGTCTACTGGGTTTTTGATAGCATCTACCTGGACAGACTGTTGGATGGTGAATGCTGATGATTCCTTGGAGGTAAGATTGGGGTGAGGAGAGCCTGATCACCAAAATAAATGCGTCCTAGAGAGACCAAATGGTTCCTGACATCATTTCTTCACTCCCATGTACTTTTTCCCTGTTGTGCTGGATGAAAGTGGATGAAAATTAAATGAATGACTATGGCAAGAGCAGGGGATAAGTGGTATTTTGTGTAACTCTCTCTACCAGACTATTATCCAGGCTCTGCTCTCAATTAGTAAGTTCAGGAAAGGTCTACAGGCTCTACGTTTAAATGTGCATGAATTTCAGTACATCATTCATTCTGCATCTCCAGCCTGCATGAATGGTTTGGAGATGTTTCTAGTTTTGTAAGGCAGACCCGGTGGACAAGTCCAGTGTGTACATCTGTATTCTTCAACTCTTTTTCTTAACAGCTATTGAAGTGTAAGGTTAGCAGAAATTTATCGGATGCATGGGGACTGGCATCAGATCCAACAGTCAAAAATACCTTCTTGAACTTGTGTGAACAATAGTATTCTCCTGTTAGAGAAAGGTATTGGCAAAAATAAGTTGCAAATAAGGAAGCAGAATGCTGCTTACATGCCAGGTGTGCCCTAGACACCAGATCCCCAAACCATCACCATTTTTCCATCACTCAGTTTGTATTTTTCTTCCCAAAGCAGCCAGCACTGCTGTGCTGCAGTGTGAGCATCTGCTCTTTGGCAAACAGGATACTTTATGCAGTGAAGATGAAACACCTTCCAAGACAGAGAGTTTGGCTGAATGTATCAGGAAGAAACTTTTGATCTGCTATTCAGCACAGGAAACCAGAAGAGCTCTTCTGTAGTCTGTGATTGCAATGCAAAGTTAAGCTGCCTCACATCAAGTAATGAATTATCTGAGGAAAGAAGGATAAAACTTATTGTAAGAAAAATACATTTTTTTTCTCTATGCCACAAGAAATCCAGACAATCTGATTGCCAGTCCCGCCCTGGAAGGTGGGTGGAAATGACTGAGGTGGTCATGGACCCAATGCAGTGAGGTTGTTGATGGTCAGTGTGTCTGCTCAGTGAGCTGCTTTGCAGAGAGAACAACGTGCACCCACTGATGCTGGCTGGGATATCACTCTGCATTTATCATATTAAATTATCAAGATATTTTAGATTCATTTCAGGAAGATATGGATTGTCTGTAATCAGCTGGAGATATCAGCATACTCAGAAAAGCCAAATGGATCCCCTGCTGTGGTAAAAAACAAGAGGGAAACCCAGCTCCTGAACAGAATAAGTCCAGGAAAGAACCAGTCTGTTACCCTGAGGTTGTGTAACCTTGTCTTGTTGGCACAAAGGCACCTGCCTGGGCTGTGCGAAGTGCTCCATTAACACCCAGTTTGGTAATTAGCAGCCACTACTCTCACATTCCTGCTCTGAGTGTGAATACTAAACAATGAAGCAAAACCGCCCCCAGCCTTAATACCTGACCACTGATCTCCTTAATGGCCCTAATGACTCACTGCCTCCCTAAACAGGGGAATGCAGGTAAACTGTCCATGGCCAGAAAGGCGTAGGGTCTACAATGACTTCTATTTTCAGCTGGAATAAGGATAAGTCAGGCAACTTCGACTTCAAGAGAAAGGAACTCTATTCTCCAGCATTAGAGAGTCACAGAATCGTTAAGGTCGGAAGGGACCTCTGAAGAACATCTCCCCTACCAAACACCTAGAGCAGGTTACAAAGGAACATTTATAGGTGGGTTTCGAATGTCTCCAAAGAGAAGACTCTATAACCCTTGTGGGCAGCCTGTTCCAGTGCTCTGCCATCCTCAACGCAAGGAAGTTCTTCCTCATCTTGAGGTGAAACTTGTTCTGTTTTAGTTTATGGCCATTGCTCCTTCTCCTGTCACTGGGCACCACTGAAAAGAGTGGCACCGCCTTTGAGGTATCCGTATACATTAACGAGATCCCTCAAAGCCGCTTGGCTTTGACCCTGGCCCCCAGCAGCGGGGAGGGTGTGAAGCCCTCACTGTGGTTCTGCTGGAGAGGAGCAGGTCAGGACAAAGCAGCCAGGTAGTCGTGGGAGCAGCAACCTTGGAGAGGTTGCAGGCACCCCAGCCAACTCTCACAACCCTTGCCTTCCCTTCAGATACAACCAGGTTATGTACAGCGATGAAGAAAGGGGTTTAAGCTGGTGTGTTCCATGTGATCAAGACAAGCCTGGATCAATTTTTACACTGGTTTGTGCTGGGAAAAAAACATAATGTCCTTCCCAACAAACACCGTGTTGTGTACACAATCCCTCCCTGTTGCAGGCAGATTAAAAATATTACCACTCTTAAATGCTGCCTGTCTTCCTCTTGTGCTGGGTTTGTAATCATTGTAGGTTGGCACCTTTTTATAGTGCGATATAACACTGTGACTAACATCACTCACATGTTTGTCTTCTCCGCTTTCCCCAGAAGGGGAAGTGTGTGCTTGGTCTCTCTTTTTTTGTATTAGAATTATTTTAATATTAATTATAATTATGTATAGGATCTAATTATATATATTGCAGTCATTATGCAGTTTATGTTTTACATGCATACTTGTGTTAGGGAAAGCAGGTCATAGCAATGTGTTTCATGATCTAAGTGGGGGATGAGGAGTTTGGCTGTGATGCTTCACTTCTCAGTGAGTCTTTGGCTGTGCCCAGTGAAGCTGGAGTAAATTTGCTATGAGGAGAAAGAGTGAATTAGTGCTACTAACACGAGACCAGCCATGGGATGGAGAAATCCATGTCCTTATGTGACACCCCAGCCACCTCTCTTCCCTCTCCCATTTACAACAGTGAGTTCCCATGTGCCTGCAGATCTGTGCTGTCTGTGCAAGGTAAGATGCTCGAGGGTGGTTTGGGAGGAGATCAGCAACTTGAAGGACAAAGGGTGCACAAAGACTTGGGATGGCTAAGGAGGTGAAGAGGCAGATAACAGAAAACTGAATAGCTCAGCAGTGGCCCAGGCCAACCACAGGTCCCCTCTCTGATGTTTGTTCCCATCACTTCTGCAGCAGGCAATGAGACACTTATCCCTGCCTGTGCATGGGCTGCACAGAGATGGGCTGATCCCTGCTTCTGCCTTTGTTCAGAACTAGCAGGAGTAAGTGACAACTGAAACATCCCAAGAAACTCAAAACATTTATCAAGTCTGGAAAGGGGGGTGTTTCACAAGCTAGGTCATGATCACAGCTGTTGCACTGCAAGACTTCTGTTTTGCTTGAAGGGTGACAAAGCCTGGAATCCTGTTAGTCCTTTTATAAATAATTTAGACAAAGATGCTGCTTGTAAGATTTAAAAAACAATACAAATTTGAAGAAGTGAGGAAGTAACTGAGAGTGTTAGCTGAATACAGAGAAGCATCAATAAGCCTATGGTGGTTTGGAAGGAACATTAAATGATACAAATGCAAGTGGAAAATATGTAATTTAATAAAAATATGCTAATTTCAAGCACAGCCTGAATGGTGGAGTGTTAAGACAGAAGAGGAGCTGTGGCTGGATTAAGAGGGTCATGGTAGAAACCTACATCTAGTACAAAAATGGCAAATTGTTTTACATAACGATGTTCTCTTGAAAAACACAGAATCAAGGAAGCCAGGTTTTCCAACACTGCCTCTAATTTCTTGTTGGTATCTGTCATCAAACCTGCACTGAAATTCTCAGAAATTGTAAGTACTTTTCATCTTAATGAAACAAAATGTGTAGTTTGTTTTCATTTAAACATAATAATATTATTATTTTTTTTTGCCAGTATGAAGTAGCAAGTTATTTTTACTTGCCTTTTGTTCACAGTGCAGTATCACAGAGCAGGTGTACAGTTTGGCTCAGACATTGTATTGTGGAAAAATATTCCAGTTGGCTATAGACCTCAGTACATCTTGAATGAGACTGTATTGACAGGCTGAGATACGTTACCTGCTTTCTGATTTACACAATACAAGAAAAATGAACTTACTGCATTGTCCAAGCAAGCCTGGTCCCCTTCCCCAGCATCAAACAATTCCCTGGTAGAGTTTCTCCTTCCATTAACTGCAGTGGGTGTCGCTGGCAGCAACAGGGCAGGCTGGAGTTGAAAGCTGAACCAACTCCTTGTATGAGCAATTCCAGGAATGTTTTAGAGGTGCTTGTTGTCATATTTGCATTGGTAATGAAAACACCTCCCATAATAAAGTGATTTATGGAAGGCTGGGCATGATATCTATACTTCAAGACAGCAGAGACAATTAGCCATGATGCTGCTGCAATGTCTGCCCAAGCCTGGATGTCTCAGCAATGAGCGTGGCTCGTGCGCATGTGGTCCCGTAGCCTGCAGAGCACCCAGAGGCACAGGACCAGGATCAACGCCAGCTGCCTCTCATTTTCCAGCCAGTCTTTATGGCTGAGTCATTTGGGGGGAGCCCTCCACGTGCATCTGGAGAAGAACCTAGTTCCACACCTCTGCTCAGCAGCAAAGTTGTCCTTCACCACGCCATGGGCGACCTCCTACAGCAGGTGCAGTGCTTGCCCTGACAGTCACACTACCCTCTGAGCTGCTCTTTCTTGTCAGGAAGATGGTGTAGAGGGAGGAGCATGGACAGCAGTTTCAGATCATCTGGTACATAGCCCTACCCTGCTCTTCTTAGACAAGCATTTGGCAAGGAGTGATCAAACCTACTCTTAGATCTCTCCTGTCAGCCACCCCCCAACTTCATTTAGGATTTTTACCCTTAACAGTAGGAAGTTGGGGTTTTTTTTCTTTTCCTAATGTCTAGACTGAATTTCTTTTTCTCTAATTTAAAACCATTAGTAGCAACACAGAAAAAATTGTGCTTTTTCTCCAGGTTGTTACTTTTTTTCTTCTTCAAGCTTCACAACTCTGGTTTGCCATTGACAGAATGGGACCAGGATTTATGTTGAAGGGCCTAGCTGACCATCCACTGTGTTGGTGGGTATATTGACTTATGGTATTATTTCTCCCTTAACCCACAGGTGAGTACAAAATGCCGTGGCCTATGGTGGGAATGTGTCACAAACGTTTTTGATGGGATCCAGACTTGTGATGAGTACGACTCTATCTTCGCTGAGCACCCTGGTATGTAAGAGTCAAAGATGTTTCTACTAGTGGTGGGGACACCCAAGTGTACACAAAAAGAGTATCTGTTCTACTCAGTGAGACATGATTTGGTGTGCATACATGTTAAAGCCGTGTTTCTTTTCTTAGTGAGGTGTTACTCGAGGTGTTACTCCCAGGGGAAGCTGGAGAAAGCTGCAGTCCAGGAAAAAAATGTTCCCACAGGATCTGTCCCCATTACCCACCCACATTTCCATTTCTTGTGCACTAGAAGGATTTGCTTTTGTCCTGCAGTGAAGCTGGTCCTGACCCGAGCCATGATGATCACAGCAGATATCCTGGCAGGTTTTGGATTTCTCTTCCTTGTCCTGGGACTGGACTGTGTGAAATTCCTTCCTGATGAGCCACTCATCAAGCTGCGCATCTGCCTGGTCTCTGGAGTTATGTTGCTCATTGCAGGTATTTCCCTGCTGTGCCTGCATCTTGCAGGACACCCTCTGGGAAAGCCAGTCGGGAGAGGAGCCGGTGATTTTCTAGAGGGTAAACATGGGAGAAGGATCTTTTATTTGCTTTTATTTGTGCAAATGCCTCTGTTCACTGCCTGCCCCTAACAGAACATATAATCTCTCCACTTATATTTCATGCGTTGACTGGCTTCCATTTACTGCTATTTTACTGTGAAGAAGTGAGTGTTGTTGACAAGGCAAAGGGATCTAATAGCAGAAGGACTACAAAGTCCCAGAATTCTGGTTCAGTTCCTGACTCTGCCACAGATTGTGTGACCTTGAGCAAGTCACTAAGCCCAAAATCTCTGCAGCCAATCTCTAATAAAAGGATAATAACACATCTGTCCTCCTAGGTGATAAATACCCAACTAAGGTGCTTTACTGTTACAGCCAGTGGGAGAATTTTAAATGCAAAAATAAATAGCTAACTAGGTACCAAGTAATTTCACTTAGCTTCATGCCAATATTGAGCATCCACCTCTGATTCATTGTAAACAGATTTCGCATATAACTCACCCCAGCCACTGGGAGCACATGTAAAAAATTGGAGAGTTTCTTTTAAGAATCCTCCATTCACCACCCAAAGTTTGTCTGAAAATCACTGTCAAAGTTCTGCAAGTCAAGAGAGATTAGAAAATCAAACTCGTGGAGCAACTTTGCAACAAGTTGTTAAACAAGCTGAGAAGGGAGATTTCTGCCATATACTGGAGTAACCTAAGTGCTGCCAGCTGGCGCTGATGGTGTATGTGAGTGCTGTGAGGTACAGCTTCTGCCTGACAGCTTTCCACCTGGTATCAGTAGGAGCCAGGGTGAACACATCAAAGTGACTGGGCTGAGACTGAAGAGGGACCAAAACCTGCTGTCCGAGGAAGGTCTTTGCATCCTAAAGCCTGACTCATCATACAGCAGGCTATAGCTCCAGGTTTTCTGTTTGTGATCTTGTGGTCCATCTGGGGGCTCTGTGTGGTACCTCCCTCCTGTCCTGCAGGTCTCCCAGGAATTACTGGCTCAGTGTGGTATGCCATTGATGTCTACGTGGAACGCTCCTCTCTGGTCTTCCACAACGTGTTTCTGGGCATCCAGTACAAGTTTGGCTGGTCATGTTGGCTTGGCATGGCGGGGTCACTTGGCTGTTTCTTATCTGGGGCCCTGCTCACCTGCTGCACATATCTTTTCAGAGGTGAGGAACTGTGGCAGGGCTGAGACACTGTTCAGAGATAGAGCCACCGCTCAGGGTGTTCTTCAGGTGCTCAGGATGTGCTACAGGCACACAGGGTGGGGAAAGTCCTTTGGGGACATTGTTCCGGATGGTTGCTCATCCCCAGTAACAATGTCTTCAGCTGTAAAATGGGAAAAGTATTATTTCAGTATCTCTAGAAAGCACATCAAGGTCTTCAGGTGGGATCTGAGGTGTTGGTATCACATTAAAAGTGTGATTATGTCATATCTTAGAGTGCTGCTTTCTCTGCATTTTGAGGCTTTGCTGCTGAAAGTCACCAAGCACTCAATAGCAGATCCTATTTCTCTCCCTATGCCTCACAGAGACCAGCTCTGGAAGACTCCACTCTGCTTACTCCTTGAGGAAAGGCTATTCCTCAGCTGGGACAATTGTAACAAATGTGCATTTGCCATCCTCGCAAACAGCTACTGCCAAAATGTATGCAGTTGACACAAGAGTATGAGGAGGAGGTAAGCACTCCAGAACAAGCTCTATTTGTGCTTGTATGGCTTGCACAGATACCCAAGCTCCTGGTTGCCACACAAGATGTGAAGTTAAATTTTAAGGATGTACTGTATGCTATAATATTTGCATTATGAGAGCTTCAGAAAAAATTTCCTTCAAGAAAGTAACCTCTGAGAAGGTCTTGTTTTAGGGAATCCATTGTCTTGAGTGCCAAGGCCACTTGTGTAAGCACGGACTGAAATAACCAACACAAAATCTTTCAGCATTTGTCTCAACAATATCAGTATGAGCGAGATAAATCAGCTGCTCCTGGATCAGATGCCAGTGTTCTGCATGGAGATCCCCAAACTGTAAGACGGATGTGTTCCATGTCTGCAATGTGTCAACAGACTGTGCAAAGCAGAAAATACAGGTGAAGAGAGGTCCTGATCGTCCAGCCAACATCTGGACCGTGTGTACCCAGCGTGGGGGTCTGCTGCTCTTACAGGCAGCTGGAGAGTTCAGCAGAAGATAAAGAGCTGTGTTAAATGCCTGACCCTCTCTTTGGCCTGTGAACGTCTGCACTGAGGCAACACTGTAAATTCAGGTGCACATTACAGTCCTTCTCAGTATGTGCCAATATGTATGTTACAGATGCTCTAGACTCACAGATCTGGAAATTGCTATCTTCTTTATGCTTAGTAAAATTTCTGCCTGGACAAAGTGAGTGAAGATCCAAGATCTGATGCTGTGCATGACAATATGTCTATACCAGCTAGAAACTAGGATAAAAGATAGTGATCTATCAACAAATATTTAAATCTAGTTCAGGACTGCTGTCCCCTCCCACAGTTCAAGCTCCCATAGGCTGGATGAGGCTAGAGTGTCAGCCATGTCTTCACTAGCATGGGTGAAGAAAACCCAGTGTGGTTTAACATGTTCCATAAGGATGGATGCAAAAGTTCTTCTATGCCTATAGTGGAAACCGAGACACAATTTTCTTAGGGTTGGTAGGAACTGTTCAAATCCAGTCCTTTCTACTGTGAGCACCACATTATATAGTCATGGGGACTAGGGGTTGGGAAAGGCTCTCAGCACAAAGATATACCTGCCTGGGGTCAGTGGAGTCTCAGGAGGGTGTGCACAGCTGTAGGTACTGAGGCACAGCCAGAGGTGGGCTTCCTCCACTGCTTTGTGGGGAGACTTCCCCCAGGCAAATTGAAGTGAAGCCTTGTGAGTGCCAGAAGGAGATGGGATGGCTGTGGATGGAGAGGGCTGTGTCTCAGACAGCACCTCTGATAGCCCCTACAGTGGAAGATGAAGGGTTGAGTCCTCTCACAGGCTATCCTGGAAGCAGCATCTTGTGCTGCAGCACAGAACTGACCAGCAGTGTTAAAGCATAACCCAATCCTGACATGGCTCCTAATCAAATAGCATTCAGGCCCTAGGACAGAGGACAACAGCAGGTCCATATGGCTTTGCTATGGGCTCAAGCAGCTCTACAAGGCTCAGACCATAATGAGCCCATCTCAGCAAGAGCCCTCATGGCAGCACTGCTGCCCAGGCAAGGGAGGCTTCGTGCCTGCAGAGTTCATGCTGGTTCGATTGGCAGACATTTATGTTAGCCAAACTGAAAGCAACTTTTGGCCAGCAGATGAGCCATACTGAACAGATGTAAACACAGTAGGAAAAGTGATGAATGCTTTTTTACAAAGTCCTGAGAGACAAAGTACAGGAGTTATGAACGATGTAATGAACCCATGGATTATACCAAGAACTCTCAAAGAGATCTGTAGGTGATAGAAATTTCTTCCTGCTATATCAGGAAACTGCATCCAAAGCTTTTTTCTCTTTTAACTTTTTCAGTGACATTAGAACTTGTGTATTTGCTGTCAGGCTTCTGGGGCAGAAGAGCTGGTGCTGGTATGGCTGTGCCAAGGCAGGGAAGCTCTGTGGATGTTTTTGAGTCTGGTTCCTGGGCTGTGGCCCTGCTCCCCTGTTCCTTCAGGAATACACTAGGAAGGAGAAGGGAGGGTGAACTCACTGCAGAGGCAGAGCTGTATTTTGTATCTGCTCCAGTGCCCATTTGCAGTGTTGCTCCCCAGAGAGGCAAATGTTCTCTTAACCTCTTCAAGGCAGGAGAGAAGCAGCAATGCCAGGGACTGCCCCAGCCCAACTCACCCAGTGCAGAGATGCTCTTCAGGAGGAGGTACTAAGCAAAGACATCATCACTTGGACCAAAATCCTGGATCAAATCATTCCCAGACTGTGCAGCCAGCACATTAATCCTCCCCACTAACACTCAGGAACAGTTTCTTGGTTTCTGCTTTCTATAGCTTTTTCAGAGGCATGAAGATTATCTCTTGCTGGAAAGATTTGTTTCTTGCTTAGCAACTGAAAAGTAGTCTAGGATCACCTGCTAATCTTAGAGGTATAGAGTCATAGAATGGTTTGCATTGTAAGGGACCTTGAAGATCATCTAGTTATGTGAATGTAATAAAGATCTCAGATCACTGATTTCTCCTGTTCTTTTCCTCCCTTATGCTGTAGTTGAGGAGACTTTTGAGGGCTTTTGTCCTAAAGGTCTTCAGTTTGTTTTATTGTGCTGGGGACTCTTTCGTGACTTGCAACACTTGGATCACACCAAGCACTTGCTCAATGGGCACTCTGAGATCACGGTGAATATAAAGGACTGGTCTCGTTAATCCTTCCAGCTCTGTGCTCCTCCTGGGGCTACATAAACAGGGCACATACATACCCCAAATACTACCTTAACTCAGGGTCCATCATCCTCAAATACACTTTGCATGCGAAGAATGTACATACAAGTATTCTTTGCATACGAAAACCATTGAATAAACATTTGTGATCCTTTCTCTTCTACAGCTTTAGCCAGACTCTGTGATAACTTTTGAGGATCTATCTCCTGCACAAGAGGACTAGGAAAAGGTCACAGCAACCCTTAGGTTTTCCAGGTTAATGTTTTGTAACAGCCAGTCCAATGATGCATTGCTTCATTATTCACATCCTGCTGACAGTCTATCTGATGTTTTGATCAGTTGTTAATATTTAATTGTTAATCCACTGATTTAGTTCTGACTCTGATTTCATGACTGCAGTATTTACTCCTCATTAGCTCATTACCGTGCCATAATGCAGATCTATTTTAGTTTGGTTGTTTATTCATTAGCAAGTAGCCTCTCAGAAAGTGTGCAAGACTTACTTTTTCTTTCAAAATCACAAACTAAAGACACTGCAGGTGAACTCAGATATTAAGGTATTTCCTTAGTACCTACCTAAGAAGAAGCAGTTCAGAAGCAGTTCACTTGGAATTAGAAGAGATTGACTTTGCCTTCTGATAGCCATTGATGGCTTACTAAAGCTCTTTGCTCAGTTGCAATTTCCAGCTGAGGGCCAGCATTTAATCCTTCAGTGCCAGCACCTTTTAGGCTTCTCCAGATTTTCACTAACTTCCAAGGAGTATTTTTGTACATTTGGGCACCTCGTTGCTTCATTTCCCAGGGTATAGGCAGGGTCAGGTACTTAGATGAAAGCTAGGATTCTCAAGTTTCCTCCTTGCTGTATCTGCCCTGTGGTGACCCTGTGAACTTGGGACTCCTCATTGCCCTTGCCACTGAAAGCACACAGATTGGTGCAGTCTGCCAGGGATCTGCCTGGTTTCATGTTATGGAAAAGAGCAAAGTCTTGTAGGTAAGCTATTTGTTAAGTTGATTTCATTTTGTACATATAGGTATTGATTTCCCATTTTGATACATGCAAGTGAGAGAGATAATAAAACAATACCTGAAACAGCTGTCCTTTTCTGCATGCAGTATTTTGTCCTCTCACTACCTTAATCAGCCTTGCTCATAGGGGCTCTTAATAACTCTGCTGTAATTAGAACTCACTCTGATCTTGTGAACTAGGCTATCTCCTAGTGCAGCTGCATGAATATTTCCCAAAATACAGATTTCTTGCCTTTTCACACACATTGAAATATGATTTAGTTCTGAATTCAATATATCTGAACAATTGTTTTCAGTAGATAAGAACGCTACTGAAGAATTCTGTTTTTCTTACATATTGTAGCATTAGCGAGATGTAATAAATGCACCTGCCTTTGAACGTCGTGTTTTTCTGACCCATATCCAGGTTTCCTCCAGAAAGGTGCTTTGCCAGGTGACCTGCTCTGACTCCTGTGGGAGAAATCACTGCTCTCCTGCAAGGACACAAAAAAGGTAGTAGCACAAACAGGACCAGTCACTGGGACAGTAGTGTCGGATTTTGCAGGCTGCCCAGACCTTTGCTGGTAGCTACAGACCTCAAGCCCCACTGCCTACCTGCAGCGATGTCCCTTTGACAGCTGTAGACTTTATGCCCAGTTTAAACACATCTACTTATAGTCATTTTATCACCTTTCCAAGTGAGAAAAGTAAAATTCCAGCAATAAAGTGAGTTTTTCTCTCTCAGCTGGGGCTGGACCTCCCCCTGCCCTGCCCCATCCCCAGTTTGCTCTTCTGCACCTGTTAAATATTGTGAGCAAGCAAATAATGTCTAAATTACTCTGTCCAAGCACTGCTACTGGGAGTAGAGAACAATTTTCTCCCAGTAGCTTTTGGGTCCTTGTTGTAAGATGCCTTTAAGCAAGAAAAGCAAGAGCCGGAATTGTGCCATCCTATGACCCAAAGAAGGGGAGGATCTGTCATTAGCCCTTCCCAGCACAAAAGGGTTTAGGCCATAATCCAGTGTCTTCAGATGGCAATAAAAAACAGATTATGAGCATTTCTAGTATTTTCCCACCTTTCATGTGCAACCCTCCTGGCAGCTCTGACCGATCCCCTTTTATGATTCAGCTCTGTTTTGCCTGGGAGCCAGTTTATGACTTTATTGTTCAGTTCTTGATGTGCGGAGGTGAAAGTCCAATTGTGCACCTCACCAGGTTCCCTTTGTCTTCTGCTTTCAGATGGTTACTGAGCAATTAGCTCCTCTGCACTGCTCCTGTTTCCGCCTCTCAAGGCTTACTGACAAGTTCCCATCCCCAAATACATCAGCCTTCTAGTGTTTTCTGGGGTTTCCTAAAGCAGTTTGCCACTTCTTCTCAAAGTCAGAAGGAAGTGTAAGAGGATGAGCGGCAGCCAGAAGGCCACAGTAGAGCAAGTGTTTTTCCAAAGTGCGCCCTATTCCTAAAATGATGAATTATAAAGAAATGGTTCATCTTCACTTATAACTCAGAAAACGTCAGCCAAACTGCATTAACTGCTTTCATCAAGGGCTGAGTGCTTAGAAAAACATACCAGCCAAAATCTCTGTTTTTGTAAGAATGGGAACTGAGATTTGGATATCTTGGTCCATTCTGCTGGAGCACCTAGGAGCAGGTAGCAGGCTTTTGTGGGCAACAGTAGAATGGTGAGGCTATCCCAAACACATTTGTAGAATGAAGGAAGAAATCCATCCTTTTGTCCATTTCAGTGATGAGGAAGCCAAGGTCCAGGGCAGTGCTCACTGAGCTCCCTCTCAGGGTACTCTCCTTCCTTACCCCAAGGCAACAGCAAGGTCAGGTTATCCCCTCTAAGCAGCCCTACACAAACTTTGGGGTATTTTTTTTAGATGGCTTCAGGTCTTCAGCAGGGTTTGGAAGCACCCATGCCTCCCGTCATGTTGCACAAAACCCACAGTATTCTCCCATGCTGGTGATTCTGCCTGGAGCCTAATTTTGTGACACCCACCAGACTGCTTTACTATAAGCCACTTGATACAGTTTTGACGGAATAATTTTATTCCTTTTGTGAATAATTAAAGCACCCAAACCATGAAGCTGAATGCGTTTGAATGAACACTTGTAGCAGGGAAACAAGAACCTGTTCCCACGAACATTTGTGCAAGACCAGAAGCCTCCTCGGTGCGTTGCTGAAAGCCTCGCTTGCCCTCTGCTGGGCAAGGATTTATTGCCTCGGTAATGAATGCCACTTCCTGGAGCTTGTGAAAGAGGGATGAAGAGCGATGGAGGCGTTCAAATCAGAGCAGTCGTTGCTTGTTAGCCTTTCCAGCCATTTGATTAGAAGGTGACATTCAATGAAATTACAGGCAGCAATTTATTTAGAACCAAGCAATTAATAAGCGGGAGACGGTAATGTTTTATGCAGCATATAATGCAGACAACCTGTGGAGTTAACTTCCACCAAGGGGGTCACTGAGGCAAATGCAGTGTATAGGAGGGAAGGAAGCGATGGCTGATTTAATGCCCAGTAGGAAGGCTATGCAAGCTGAAGTGACAAACATAATCAAATCTCATGCTTCAGGGCATAAATTGAAGGGGTTGAGTAGCAGAAGCACTTACGTATGTAAAAGGTCTGGTCCTGAGAGGTGCTGATTACCTGCAATTCCTAGTAAGCTCAGCCAGCGAAAGGACACTCAAGAATTGTTTAGCTTCTCTGCTGGCTGAGTCTGTACGTGTTAATTTTCCTTATTAATATATCCTGTAATATTTTAGCCTGCTGGCACAAACATTCAGTTTGCTACAGTAACATTCATTTCCTTTCACACAACAGTCAAACAGTAAAGCTGTCTCTAAAATAAGATTTTACAGAGATAATTTGCGGTGGTGCTGGCAGAGAATTTCTCTCTCAAAATACGCTGTAATTCCTTATCTAGTGAAGGTACTTATATAGCCTCATTATGAAAATATGTGATAACCTTTAGTGGATTTATCTTCCCAGTTTCCTTCCTGAGCAGGGGAACTGGTGCTAACCACACTCTACAGGCGGTGAGCTGCTCCACAAGGCAGGCTTCCATTAATCTTGTGTGGTACCTAACAGGGACTCAGCTGCCCACTTTGACTGTGAGCCCATGCTCTACAGGCATGGGGTGCATGGTATTGGGTGTGACATTTACCTTCTATACCAAGAGGGATCTGAGTGCCGCCTCCAGCCCTTGCCATTGAGAGATCAGATCAGAGGTGGAGAGGTCAGGCAGGCTGAATCCAGCTTTCAGTGACCTGTCCATGATGAATGAAATCTTTGCTTTCATCTGGAATCCAGTTCAGGGGGAAATTCAGCATCTTTCCCCAGTAATTTAAGAACTGGGTAGGCTAATACCTCCTAGGAATGGCTTATGAAGTGCTGATCCTTCTTGAGCATAAGGCAGTCTGGATGGCTTCTTGAAATCTCTTTCCACCCATCCTGCAGTGGTCATCTCAAAGAAAATTACATTCTTTATCCCAATAAATTTCTGTAGCTAAGCACCAAATACCTAACTCCATAATTCATGTCTGTGGGGAACTGCCATGTGGGTCCTGGGCAATTTAAACCCTGCAGGTCTGCAGTTCTAGGGCAAGAGTAGCTGGAGACAGTCACTATGAAATTAAGAACAGTTCAAATGAGCAAACTCACTTTTTTTTCTGTGATCTGTAACCACCTCATGCTTCTGATGCTCCCTCCATAATCCCTATCTCTTGTTTTCCCTTCCCTGGCTATAAATTTGCTGCTTTTCACACTAGGCAAATCTGATATGTTGTGCTAAATATTTTAAATGTGGCAAATGATCCTTCATCACAGAGTGGCATGATTACATTACAATGTATTAGAACAACATGACTTTGCCAGAGGGTGTTTGTTGGCACCATGCCAAATGAAAGAGGCAGCCCAAGTCTGAGAAGGAACTATCAAGACATTTATCAACATTCGGTCCTAAACTGCACAGGTTTGCACCAGCTCAAGCAACCTTACAGAGATAAATCTGGAGGCTGAGACAGAAACCCTGAGTGCAGACAAAACTTTGAGGGAGCTTCATGAAACCCAGAGCCCTATCAAAATGTCAGGTTGAGCTCCTGTGACAAATTCAACACATGTTTTGGCATTTATTCTGTTGCATTTAGTCTTACGTTTTAGGTTTAGAAGAAGTATGTGCTGCCTTTCAGTCTCTCGGCCAGCCTGCGGAAAGGGCTGATTTGATCTCAAACTACTATAGCATAACAGAAGATCTCAGATGAAATAAGTGGAATCACAGAAAGCAAGCATGTGGTGTCTAGAGCTCCTTCATATTATTTTCCTTCATAATATCCTCATAGGATGGAGGCAACTCAGTTTCCCCAAGGCTGAACTGTGGGGCAGAAGAAGAGGACATCTCCGTGGTCATGCAGGGGTTCAGAGATCCAGAGAACAGACACTGAGGTGCTTCACTTGCTGGGGAAAAAGTAAAGCAATAAGCGTACAGCAGACAGGCGTAAAGAGTAAGTGTGGGGTGAGAGGGGTGAGCCTGGGAGGAGCTGCCCAACTGCTTGGAAACAAGAAAGGCACGGATGTAATTTTTTAAGTATGGCATCACAAAGCTGCTCACCACAAACTCCAGATACAAGAAGTGAGAACAGAGGAATTTGGGTGCGTTTGGGGTGGGTCCTCCCTGTGGAGACGCTATTCATAACCACCCAGAAAGCATGCAATACCTTCTCTGGGAAACACTTAGTCTAATGACTGGATTAGCTTTGTTCTTCTTGGAGTGACTGTTTGGCCCAGCCTGTTGACGTACTGGCAATACTCCAGGTCAGTGCTGGCTGCTATACATAGTCATTATAGCCCAGTCTTCAAAAGTCTGGATGCTCAGGGACAATGCTGAGAGTGCCTACCACGATGAACAGTGCTTACCAACACAACTTTCTGACAGACCCCAGGGTGCTGCTGGTGGCTCAAGTAGGCTGGTGCAGTTTTGCCTGAATGAGAAATGGAGGTCACGTGTTGGAAAGGGTTGTCTGCCCCCAGCAGTGCCTGTGGCTGTGTATGTTTTGGCTGCTAAACACTGAGGAGAAGGTTCCACAGGCTTCAAGAGTTAGCATGGCCAAGGCCTGACTAGCATCTTTGGAACACACAGGGACAGCACTGAGTTCAGCTAATGTACATCTCAGGCAAAGTGGGTGTAGCTCCAAAGTGGTGCATGCTCCAAACATCCCCACAAGATTCCCGAGCTGGGCATCCCACTGCTCACCAGAAAGAAACACAGCACTCAGCTGCAGCCCAGCTCCCACTCAAGCCTGGCTGCCTCTCACTGGGCTATGGATGGGCCACGGGGAACCCCAGTGGGGCCAGTGCGGGACTTTGCAGCAGGTAGTAACAGGACTAACCACAAAAGGCATCTGAACTGCTGAGTGCGAAGACAGCCAGGGTGCGCCGGTGGGGAAGGCAGCTCCGCCGTTTCAGCCAGCACTGCAGGCAGCAGCATATGCCGCAGGACAGGAGCAAGGCCAGGAAAAACAACATCAGGAACCTGAGGCAGAGGCAGGAGGGAGGAACAGGACCATCACCATCTGCAGGCAGCACCGACAGATGGCTGCATGTCTTCAAATTAACATATTCATTAACTTCTTTTGCAAATAGCTGTTAAATGCTGCAGTTTCCCCACCAGCGTACTGGACATGATCAAAGTCCCTGGAAACCAGTGTCTCAGTGCTGAGTGCTCAGTGCGGAGTGCTGGCCGGAAATTCAAACATTTCTTCCTAAAATCGTTCATTGGTTTTGTGCAGTTCAGTTGTCAGCATACAGTGAGGAGGATATGGATAAATGATTTCCATTAGTCAGTAAAGACAGAACACAGGGACAGCCCAGGAGCAATGCTCTCTAGCTATCAGTCTCTCTTAATGCCTTTCTCTTTCTATATCCATCAAAGAATATTATTTGCCAGTTTTCCCTTCCAGAACAGATCTGAAACTTACCACACATACCAGCTGCTAAAGTTTTCATCACTTTGCCTGATGCACCTAAAAAGGGAAAATATAAAAGGAACTTTCAGTCCAGTGTGAAGGGACTGTAATGGCTCCAATGCACGTCTACTGACACAAAGAAAAACATCATTGGTAAGCAGAGGGTTGAGAAATTTTCCTCCATCAAGGGAACCCTATTAAAAGTTTCTTCATGTAGATGGAAGCAGATGCACATGAAGTAGGAAGCAGCCTGAAACTAGTTTGCATTTCAACATTACCACCCACCACCAACCTTTTTAATGAAACCCAAAGGGTTGCCAGCCTCCTTTTCCTCTTTTGGAAGACAAGGTAAATGGTCCTTTCCTGGAAGCCCTCATTTCTCTGCCATGTCAGTGTGCCATGCAGGAGCACAGCATCCCTGGAAGAGCTCAGTTTGGGAGCAGCTGAGAGTGAGAAAACAGAGAGCCACACTCACCTCTCGCCAAGCTCACAGTCCAACGCAGAGTCTGCTAACTGAAAACACACATGTAAATCAGAAAGGGCAGATATGTGTCAGGTTCTTTATAATTAAACAGTATAATTACTGATCTTAGAGTGGGAAGTTGGAGAGGAAAAGCCGTAAAGGTGCCTCTTCTTGTCTCTGGTCTCCCAGCCTGCATCAAAAGCAGTGGATAACCTCATAGAGAGCTTGATAAATTCAGCAGTTTGCAGATGAAAGCTAGGACAAGGGGAAAGCATTTCTTTTGATGTGAAAGAGGGAAAAACAAGAACAGGGAGACTCAAGCAGGTGTCAGAGACCTGGTTACAGAACTGGGCTTTGTTGTTCAGAAATGTCTGTTCAAAATGTCCTGTCACCAAATTCTTGGCTTGTGGCTCATTTTCCAGTAGCTAATTGTACATGTAGTTGTAAACCAGAGCTGTTTTGACTAGACTTGTGCTCTACCCAGCATTTTCCTTTTTTCAGATAGCAGTGGTGCATCATTCCCAGAGTCAGGTTTCAGGTGTTGCAAATGCGTGAACCTGAAGCTTGTTTTTCAGGTATATTTTCTACTCTCCACTCAAGCAAGCTTATTTTTGCAAGCCTTCTTGGTCTTTGCCTCAGTTTCAGGTTATTTGGGGAAAAAGTAACCAGAGAGGTTCATCAGTATGATTCAAGCAAATCCAATGCAATTTTTGGCTGACTCACATTATTTGTGTTATAACACCTGCCCAACTTTGCTACAGAAAACTTCTGATCAGATATAGAATTGCAATAACACTGGCAAGCAGAATGAGCAAGATGGAAAATTTTATTTCTTGGAGAAAACTTTAGGACGTAATTTATAAATCATTACTTTACTTTGGATTTGCTTCTCTGTATATCCAAAGCACACAGAGGTTTCTGACTTTCTTTAAGCCAAACTGGAAAGCTATGTTCTGTATTAGAAATTTGTATCAAATACATATAATTGAGAGATATCATATTACATCTCTAATCAACAAGACTTCTTTGTAAGGATTTTGTTGTCCAAAGCTTGTGTAATTATAAGCAGCAGGAAATCACCACACAAATCTCTATAATGTGTCTGATACTGTGCAGACACTGCCTTTCTGTCCCTAGTTTCACCAGAGGTCTTTAGGTATAGTAAATCTTTCATATAAAACATTACCTATGAAATTTCATGATCAATTGAAGCCCAAATGAGGAATAGAGAAAAGGACAGAAGCTTCAACTCTTCCAGACATGTCCTTTTAAAACTGAGCTAATTTGCCATGTCACACATATACCCTGGTGTAGAACAGTTTAATTTTATTTTTGAACTTCACCTGGTTATTGGAATAACAGGTCAAAACCAGACAGCTGATCGCTGGATTACAGGTACCCTGAGTATTATTCATGGCTGAATGACAACCTCTGGGCTTTCCTTTATCATCCTTCAAACTACCTCAGCAGAGCTACCTTAGAGTAGTTAAACTGCAGCAAAGTGCATCTGCTCTGAGGCAGTAATCTATCAATGCAGCCAACCACCCACCCATGCTGCTGAAAGCTCATGCTCTTCATTTCAATAGCCATAGACAGAATAAAGGATTAAGGCAGTTGCGTTTTCTCATCATTAGCTGGAATTGTTGTGAGCTTTAAATCCTCCCCAAATCTCTCAGGTCATCAGGGAATTCTTTCTCAAAAAAATAGTGAGCTGATGACTAAATTATATAAAAGTTGAAATCTTTCCCCCACCTCAAAATCCCTAAAATCAGCCTGGTCCCAGTGAAGGGTTTGGTTACCTGCAAGAAGCTTAAACACAGAACTCCAGTTCCTGTTATCCATGAAGTGAGACACAAAGCTCCAGGTCTTTGCATCACTATCAGGAGAAACGTGGGAAGAGCTCTGTTTGCAGCAGTGTTTTGCCCTCTGTAATTTGAAGCTTAAAAACTTCTTTGCATGTTGTGCCTCCAGCCAAAAACCACACTACCCAATGAGTTCCCGCGCTTCAGAAATTACCGCTAGCCAGGGCATGGCTTTAGGTTTGCATGGACACACTCAAACAGCTGCTAGAAGTTAAAGGAACACTAGTTTAAGGTCAGCACCTTGTAGTTATTTTGGTATTTTCATAGCTGTTCACAGATTCCTGTTGCTGAAGCTTAGTTCTGTATTAACCCACGGCTGTATTTAACAGGCCCTGCTACAAATAATCACTGGACACTATATTGCAAGGCCATGCTTTCATTGCATGCTGCCTTCAGCTGCAATTCTGGCATTACAGAAAAAGTGGAGCTACCTCCAACCATCTCCTTTTCACTATGACTACCATCTCAAACATGCACACAAGGATGAAGGAAACTCTTCCCAGCCTAAGACAACTGCTACCCAGTACCTCTGTTGCTGCTACGCAGCTGCCAGAGGCTGGTTTGCTAGGAAAATGTATCCAAAAAAGCACACATCCCCAGTGGGTCTCATAAGGGATACAAAATTTCATTGCACAGTATAAGAGCTACTTTGATTCTAATGGATACATCCAGATGACATAGTAAAACTGGTGGAAGATGGCTTGCTCTGTAGCTCTGATCACTGCAGAACGGAAGATGCCAGTTTGTTTGGCTGTCAGTAGTAGATTGTCACTGAAGTTTACAGCCTGTGGCTGAAATGCACCATTAACTATGGTTCTTCCAGATTTAACACAAAGGTGTTGCTGTGAATACGTTCAGTTGTCACTCCAGAAGTTAAGCATTATGTTGCAATGCCATTACTTCGGTAATGATTGACAAAGCTAAGCTGCTCTGAAGATATTCTTCTCTGGCTATGTTTCAGCTAAAAGGTCAAGAAGTCTAACCAACTCTGATACACATGTTCAATCCAGGTTTGTTATTTATTGCTAAAGTTTTGCGTAAACCCAATCCAAACTCTGGTGTTCTCAAATGTTTACTTTCAGCTCACTACTAATTAAAGGCAAGCCTCTGAAATGATTCCCTCTGAGAAAGCATCTCTCATAATGGTGCTAAGTGTGTGTGCTACACAATATAAATGGTCTGAACACATTGTTTGTCCTGGTTCAGTCCAATTATTTTCAATTTGGTTCAACAGTAGGTTGCCCAAACAATTTTTTAGCTGTTTTCTTAAAAGAAAAAGCCCCTGAAGTATAGAAGTGCTCACAGCCTTGCTGGGAACCTTGCGACTCTTACAATTTCAGGCTTATAAGAGATCATCTATCATTGACCTAATTTCAGATTTCTTCTTTCCACAATTACTTCCCTCGTGCCAGCACCAGGGCACATGCAATTTAGAGCTACTGAATGAATCATCCCCAGCATTTCAGGGAGCAGGTACCACAATGAGCTCCTGGTACTGAAAAATAACACATAGTATCTATTTTTGATCTGTTTCTAGAAGAAAAAGGGAAAAATTGAATTCTGCCACTGCTGTTTGCCTGGCCTTGAAGCAAACTTTGAATTTTCTGCCAGTTGGTCCCATACAGAGGTTTCAAGTGGTGGTGGCAATTTGTGGAGCCAGTTCTTGTATTCTCTGTAATGCTGATGTTGAGAGGACAGTTGGCTAAGAGAGGTCCACAGACTGCCCTGTCTTTTGCTTCAGGCATGATCCTGATACTGAAAAGAGCTGCTGTTTCAGCAGGAAAACTCTCCCTGTCCATGATTTGCTGAGCAGCTTGAATACATGAATGTCATAAAGAGCCCCAGCACTTGCTCTAAGACAGCCAGAACCTAACACTGAAAGCCCAGAGGAGCTCTGCATTGAAACCCGTGGAGGACTGTGACCCTTCCTGCCCACTCCCTGCCTACTGTGACACTGCTGCCTTTGGGTTTCTGCAATTCTTCTGAGTAGTTCTATGTCCAATGAATATCTCCAGTCTAGGCTTTCTGTCATTCCCCCTACAAAGAGATATATATGTATATACCTACATGAAGGTAACCCCTGCTCCCACCTCTTCATCCATTTACTGATGTAAAGTTAGATATCTCTTGCCTCCTCTATCAGTTATACCCACCTCATCAGCAGACATGGGAGGCTGCTCTCTGATAGATGTTAACTCCTGGCCATTAGATTAAAAATCTGTTATTTTCTCGTCACCTTATGTTGTTGCTAGGTGACAAATGCATCTCCCAGGCAGCAACAGGGACTACTGCAACATACAGCAATTTACAACTGTCCATTATCTTTTTGCTTAAAGTGCCCACTTCTTTCAATGGGAGGAAGATGTGCAGTTCTAGGAGTATCAAAAGGGTGACTTTTAGAGTTGCCACAGTAACCATCTCTACTGAGGGCTGGCTCTTGCTGAACTTCATGATAAGGGATGCAAGACTGAAAGAGAGGAAGAATTTGAGAGAAGCTGATTTAACTTGTTGAGTCTGATAGGGCTGAGGTTGGATTAGGAGTCTGAATTTCAGAAACTGATCTTGTTCTTGTACATATGTTTGCTAGAAGTGATGGCTTTTGCTTGCCATACAATAATTTTCAGTCATACTTTCGGTTTGAGCCACAGTTCTGGGGAATACTCTGGAGACCTCTGGATTTTGGTGAGAGTGGTGAGGAATTCACTAACAAGCAGGAGCCCACACAGAGCCCCTGACAGCTCATAAGCACAGTTAAGAGTTTAAACCTGTTTAAGGTTTTTCCTTAGATGCCTTCAGAGCATTTGTTGACTGCTGGGAATTACTTTCGGGAAAGCAATCACCTTGCTAAGCTCCGACCAGTTTCCCTATACAGTCCTGAATGGGACTATGAAAGTCTTTTCCAGAAAGCAAGGAAAGAGAGTGGTGGGAGGAGAGGTAGGACAGACATGGGGAAGGACATGAGACGCAAGGGAGAATGCACAGAGTTGTGATGTGGAAGAAAGACAAGCAAAGTCAGGGCAGCCCTGCTCTCTACATTAAGGTCAACTAACAGGAGTTAATTAAGCATGTTTTGCCTTTTTTATGTTGCAGTGTTTTTGCATCACCACCACAATCACTTTTTCCTCCAGCCCAAGTCCACTGAGTGCTCGCCCCTCCCTACACAACTTCACCACCATGGATGGCTCAGTCTTTGCTTTTGCAGCTGCATCCTCAGCACCTAGGCTCAGCCAGGCTGCAATTATGCCTTCTGGCTTGGCCTGGGAAGACCCAAGGCAGGTCAATTCAGTTTAGCCCAAGAGAAGAGCAGGGTAGCAGGAAGGACTGAGGATTGCCTTTCTGCAACACAACTAAAGCACCTTTGGTCTCATCCTCACAAAATGAAAGCTGCAAGGGGCTGCTTGCTCCCTACAAACACAAGAATAAATCCAGCAAGAGGAGTGCTATTTAAGATAATGGCCAGTGCTGGCATGGGAACAAATGGAAGCAAACTGGCCATGCATAAATTGAGGCTGGAAATGCAAAGAAGGTTCACACCATACAGAGCAGTGAGGTTGTGTAGCAGCTTGTCCGTGGGAGGAGTGTGGGCACAAAACCAAATGGCTCCCAGGATAGAAGGCATCAAGCTCCCACAGGGGATGTAACTCCTTCAACAGAGCTGGCTGACCCAGGGGGTCCTTTCCGACCCCCTGGAAACCACCCTACTTGGCCATTAAACCCATCTGCATGCACAAGAGTCAGCCAGCACAGCCTCAGGCTTGTGTGAGTGAGGAAGGATGAACTCTTTAAAATAAGCCTTAGTAGAGCTGGCACAGCCTGTTGTCTTTCAAAAGGATTATAACTAGTTGCTGCTCACTGATGAATACGGCCCTTTGTGAGGCTGTGCGGGGGACGTGCTGCACAGGGGGAAGGAAAGACTCCAGGCACTGATTTAAATGAGTGCAAACAAGGATGACATTGTTCTGCTGCATCCTCCCCAGGAGCAAGGCTTTGCAGGTCACCCTCAGATCTGATGCAACTGCAGCTATCTCCGTTATTTCAGATGGTCCAGAGAGCCCTAGTGTTTGTCTTGGTCTATCAGAAGGGAAAATCCAGAAGAGAATGGGGTCAGTGAATCCTTTTGCCTTGCAGAAAGCTAAAGGAAAAGGAATCTCCTTTTAGGTTAGTTAATTGCAAAAGGGATTTCTCCTATATGTTCATGCATATCCCAGACTGAGAAATGCAGAAAACTGTCTTCAATACACACGCATTCATGGAGCCTCAAGTCCTTAAAACACACAATCATGGGAAGTCAAAACTTCAAAAATATCCCAAGTATAAACACCATTGAACTGTTGTGAGAAACTGTGAATTATCCAGACACCCCTGTTCCAACCCTATAGTGAACACCTGAAATAGATACTGCAGAAACTGAAATACTGAGCAAACATGAAAATATTAAGGCAGGAAATTTCTTGCTCTGGAATTCACAGGGGGAAGAAACTTTGAGAAATGGACCTAACAAGCATCTTGTGTATGCCAAGAACTCTGATGCCGACTCCCCATTAAAACTGGAAAACAGGGTGCAGTGTTTTACAGAGTGCTGTGCTGTGGTGGGGCAATGGGAAGTTGCAATACAGTGCTTTGTTGAGGTTTGTTTTGAAAAAGTGAGTTGAACCCTAAAAGAACAAACACCTAAACAACTGGACTAGGGCTAAGCTTGGCAGTTGTTTGGCTTCACTGGAGAATTTAGAGCTCAGAATTGCATTTGAAGATCTGCTGCACCTGAGGAGTAAATTGTTGTTTGGCTTCTCTTATTTCTGGCTTGGACATCAGGACTTGCAATAACTCCCAGATGACCTCTCACATAGTCATGAACATTACAGCCTACCTGGAAAAAGAGTGTAAGAGACCTTTCATCTCCCAGGCTCCTCAGAAAGGCACTGTACCTCCCACAGAGCATGTCAGAAATCAGTTCAAAGGGCTGGATAACCCTCAGGACTTGAGGAATAGAAAAGCAGAATTAAGGATAAAGTTGATAAAATTGAAAGCAGCTTCAATAAAGCAAAAGATGAAGTATAACAGA